CGGCCGAGCCGCCGCGCGAGGGGGCGGGGGCGGGGCGCCGCCGGCCGGCCGCGGTGGCGAGCGGCGAGCCGGCGACCTGGGCCCCGACGGGGGACGGCCGGCCGGGCCGCCTCGCTTCCTCCGCTCGCCCGCTGTCCTCCCCTGACCCCGCGGTCCTGGATGCCAGCCATAGCCCCGGGGCCTGAGGCAGGAGGGGGATCAGCTTTGAACCATAAAAGCCCAGGTCTGGATGGCACTGGGCGAGAGGGCGACTCCTCGCCTGCTTCTTTCTGAGCAGTATCTAATGGGAACTTTATTCCCATTAAAAGGAGAGGTGTTAAGAGTGCACCGGTTCAGGGATTTTTCTGGAGGGTTCTGGAAACCAAGATGTTAATTTTGGCAAGACTGAGGTTTCTTCTTTGATGAAAGAGGGTCAGAATAAAGGGCCTTCCTGTATTGAAATCCTGTCGTTGTATTATTGGTATTTATACTTGAACATCCAAGGACTGGAGGGGTAGTCTGATCCCACTCGGCCAAAAGGAATGTCTGATAAAAAACGAAAACAACCAAGTAGCCTTCACACACCAACGCTGCCTGTACGCCCTTTCTTTTAAGTTAAGTGGGATGGTCAGATTCTACCGTCTTCACCCACCCGCTATGTGGGGTTGTGTATTGCCTATATACCCATTGAAATAGACTGTTTTCTTCATTTCTAATTATTTCACTTGACCCTATGAGTATAGCGGGATCTTTTGGGCTATGCTTGAATTCAGAAGTTTCTTCGGCCTAGTTTTTAAATTCTCTAGACTCAGTTATTTTATAGTGAACATATATTATCATCATAGAGTTCTTCGAACACATTTCTTGCATCTACAATGATACCTTTCGTTGTCAATTTTATAATCCATAAATAATGAACCTGGTAACATCTGAGAAGGTGTACGTTACAAAACTCGCTCTCCTAAATTAGAGGAGGTGTGTTAGAATTAAGAGTGCTTTGTGTGAGTCAAAAACAGTTTAACAGCAGACCTGGGAGAGACAAACTTCCGGGAGAATCAAAGTACAACGGTTTTAGTACAACGAAGTGTTTATGACTTAAATTTAGAGTGGTTTGACCATTTCTGTGTCTGGAACTTAAGGTCTATAGCCAGGAACTACAGAATAAACCCCCAAAGAGCATCGACCTCTGCCTTCAAGCCAATACTACTAAAGGATTACAAAAGCCGCCAGGACCAGCAAACTTCTTGTCTTTTTATACTTTTATGTTTACTTTTCCTATGACAGTTCCTGTCATCTTGAATTGGTAAGCAGCCCAAGGAGCTATTTATTTTGTACATTCTTGCGCACTTTAAAAAAGACCCAAAAGAACCCATTTACCATATGTTGACAAGAACGCCAAACTTTTCGCTCTTTTTAATTGTTTGTAAAATTAGATTTTATTGCCAAAAACGTAGAAAAACAAGTGCATAGATCTAAAAACAAACAAACAAAAACAGAAAACCAACCTGCTTACCTTGTTAGAAACTGGGGTTGCAGTGTCATTCTGTAAATATTGATAATGTTAAGAATGTTAAAAATAGGGGCTGAATAAAATAGCTCAGCAGTTAAAAGAACTTGATGCTCCTGCTCCTCAGTTCGCAAGGCCCAAGAGATGTGACTTACAATTGCCTGTACCTCCAGCTCCAGGGGCTGTGACACTCTCCTGGCCTCCTCAGACACTGCATGCATGCAGGACACATACATGCTCGCAGGCAAACACAGGCATAAAATAAATCTTTTTCTAAAAACCCAAAAGTGTTGAAAGTGGAGTCTGGAGACGGCACTCGCTTAGCATGAGTGAAGTTCTTTGTTTGACCTCCAAAATATTCACTTATCCCTTAATGTATTCAAATGTTTGCTGAATACTTACCTTAGGCTAAACTTCAGACAAGGTGATCAGCACATAAATGTAAGCTTGAGGGGGCGTCAATATACAAGAAAAGACTTAAACAATCCCAACATCTACTGTGAAAAAAGAGAGTGTATTTCAGTAATTAGCAATATAAAGTCTCTTTTGGGTTTTTTGTTTTGTTTTTTTTTGGGTTTTTGGTTTGTTTGTTTGGTTGGTTGATTTGGCTTTTGTTTTTTTTCGAGACAGGGTTTCTCAGCGTAGCCCTGGCTGTACTTGAACTCTATGTAAACCAGGCTGGCCTCAAACTCAGAGACCTGCCTTCCTCTGCCTCCCAAGTGTAGGGATTCAAGGTGTGAACCAACACTAGCCAGCTAAGAAGTCTCATTTTAAAATGTTTTAAATAATTTTTTAAAAATAGGATGCTTTTTTATTTAATTACTTAAAAATATCTCTGAATGTTATAAGCATTTTCTTAGGGATAACGCCATCAAAATACCAATAGGGTCTCACTTTACATCAGCGTAGCAAACTTGTCCCCCCACCAAGGTAGTCCTAGAAATATCCCATCAACATGGAATGGGAAACTACTCATTTAAATGTGTCAATAGCTGACATAATTGTCCAAAGCGCATTAAAACTGCCAGTTCAGAATCAGATTGTCTTGACTTATTCTAGCTTATTCATCCCCAACTTTTGTGTAGTGCCTGCCTCCTCTCAGATGCTTTACTTTCCTCAATAATAACAACTATGTATGAATTTGTCAACTGAAAAAAAAAAAAGCATATTGCCCTAGTTGTTAATTTTTCCTTTTTTTTTTTTTTTTTTTTTAATTGAGGAGGAGTGGGAATGCAGTTGTGTGTATGTGTCATGTCCCCACCCCACCCCCAACCCCTACTGCTGCAAATATGCAGCTGAGTTTTCCTCATTTGGGGAAATGGCAGGAGTTGGCAGATCTGGAGTGGCATGGATGAGCCCTGGGAAAGCTGCCTTTATGATCGTGTGTGGGGGTGACCTTTTCTACACTGTGTAAAGGTTGTCTTTGCATATTCAGTTGTTAACTCAGCACATAGCTGAGTGCTGTCCTGACTTTGCTTTTGTTATTCTAATTGCTCAGCACGTGCATCATATTTTGTAAACATACACTTTCCTCACCTTCTGATTGGTTTACTAAAGAGCTGAATGGCCTGTAAGCAAAGGCAGCAGAGGGAGGCAGGGCTTCTGAGCAGTGCTGGTACTGAGTCAAGGTAGCAATCCACCTGGCAGAATGTAGATTGATATAGATATAGAGGGGTTAATTTAAATTAAGAGCTGGCTGGGAAACAAGCCTAAGCTAAGGCCAAGGTTTTATAATTAGCAAAACATCTCCATGTCATTATTTGGGACCTGGCAGTCCAAAGAAAGCCACACCATAATTGGCATCCCAATGTTAATCATCATGCTAGTTCCCCTACCAGGTAAGTGTTTCATTTACCTTTTAAAAAGAAAACATCATAATCTGCCAGTACAAAAAGAAAATTGAGTGTTATGTGTGCTTTGCTTCATTTATTTCAGACAATCTCCCTAAATAGCTCAAGTTGGCCTAGAACTTGTGATTCATCTACCTTCACCTCTCAAGTACTGGGACTACAGGTATGTACCACCATGCCTGATTTCTAATATGTTTTAAAAGCACAAATTTTACTTACAGTTTTAGGAGTTTAAAGGCCATCGTGTTATAAAGCAGGATTAACTGACATAATAAGATTAACCGTTAACCTTGAATGATTAATAGCATTGTGCTCAATTCTTCTATTTAATTCTCTCTTACAATAAACTAAGGGGTTTTGGAAAAGGGTTTTGTTTGCATCCTTTTGTCATTCGTTTTGTTTTGTTCTTTTGTTTGTTTGTTTTATTTAGGAGAGAAAGGTGCTTGAAAACAGATCCAGGGAAGGCTTTTTGGTTTGGTTTGGTTTTTTACTAGCTATCATGTAGCTTCCCCAGTATGTAATTTATCTATCTAGGTCTAAGGTCAGCTCTCTATGAACTGTATGCTGAAGTTTGCCTTTCTGGTTGCTCCTCCGGGTTGAAGAGCAGGAGAGCTGTTCAGTATACAGGAGTGAGAACATGTGTCTCTCTTCACTATAAAAGAGGGGAAATGGAAAGGCACATAGAGTATTCCAATAGTGTACAGAACATACTTTATTGCTATATAACATCGCCTCAGGATTTAAGCAACAATAATCACGGCATGCCCTCCTGTAGTTTCTGTGCTGGTCCAAGGTTTCTCACATGGCTGCAGTGAGGGTGGTTGGCATGCCTGTATTGTGTCCCAGCTACTCAGAAAGCAGTATTATTTGAAGCAGGAGTTAATCAAGCCAGCTTGGGGAAGAGAGAGAGGGAGAGAAAAAGAGAGAGAGAAAGCTTATCTCAAGAAAGAGCAAAGAAAGAAGGAGAGGGGACGTGGGGTGATCAGGAGGAGTTGAGTTGGAATAAAGCAAGTCTCACTGGCAGTTGGGATCTGTCCGGTCACACACACATATACCCTTTTTATCTCTATCTTCAGGAGGTCTCAGGGTTCCTTCGTTACATGGCTTCTCATTATGGGCTGATTTGAGGTTCTCAAGCACTGACAAGCAGTTGACATGGAGCCTGGCCTGTATGCGTGCAGAGCAAGTATTCCAGAGTACAGGCTAGGCAGTGCTTTTCCCCAGGATGACCTAG